TTAGGGGGGGTTTATTAATATGAGGAAGTGATTATATGTTTGAGGAAGAGCCCAGGAAGAGCACTTTCTTCTCGAACCTAGGGCAGCCGAAAGGCCCTAAAATCCTGCACCTTAGTGGGTTCAGGGTTTAGGGTTTAGGGTTTAGGATCCCTGAAACCCTAAACACTGAACCCTTCTGAGCTCTGAACCTATGACCCCCTAAACCCTACAACCCCTAATTAAACCTCAAACCTTAAATTCCTAAATCCTGAACCCCAAACCGCCAAACCCTAAATAGTAGTTTCCATTTTCTTTTCCATTATCCCAGTATAACCCCTATATATCCCCTTTAGAACCCCTATAGAACCCCTATATAACCCCTATATAACCCCTATAGAACCCCTATTTGACCTCTATAGAACCCCTATATACCCCCTATATAACCCCTATATATCCCCTATATATCCCCTTTAGAACCCCTATGTAACCCTGATCCCTAAACCCTAAACCCTAAACCCTAAACCCTAAACCGTGTGGCTCCTCTATATCCGAAGGCGGAGGATGCTGCGAGGCAGAAGCGACTTGCCGAGGAGAAGCTGCTGGGCGTCTCCCTCTCTGCAAGCTGGCCGCCGGGAGATCGCGGGTTTTGGGGTTTTGGGGTTAAGGGTTAAGGGATTAGGGTTTAGGGTTTAGGGTTTTTGGGGTTTTGGGGTTTAGGGATGAAGGTATAGGATTCAGGGATCAGAGTTTGGGGATGAGAGTTTAGGGATCAGGGGTTTAGTGTTTAGGGATTAAAGGGATTGGGATCAGGGTTCAGGGTTTGGGGATTCGGGTTTAGGGATTAGGGTTTAGGATTTAGGCATTAGGTAGGATTTAGGATTTAGGGTTTAGGGATTAGGGATCAGGGTTTAGGGCTTAGGGATTAGAGTGTAGAGATTAGGGAAAAGGGCTTGGGGATCAGGGTTTAGGGATTAGTCATTAGGGTTTAGGGGCTATAAGGGATTAGGATTATACAGGGATCAAACACGGATGATCTATAGAGGTTATGGGAGGTACACGTGATACAGGATTGTGTAGGCGTCAGGGATATTCCCCCACAATGGTGAAAATTAGAATGAAGAGTGGCTTGAAACACCTCTTCAAGGTTGTCTAGGGTTTCAAGTTCAGGGACCCTAAACCCTAAACCCCATCGCCCGAGGCAACTCAACAGCGTCGTGGAGTGGCGGCCGATGGCGCGGCACGCCGCAAGAAGGAGGCCTCCAGAGGGTTTAGGGTTTAGGGTTTAGGGTCTAGGTCTAGGGGGTGTTTTTCATGAGTACGTGAGGATACATGAGGGCTTCGAAAAAATGATGGGGCCCCGGAGGTTCGTAGAAGAGGATCCTACATTTGGGGAGGTGCGCATGGAGAACATATGACAGAAACCATTACATAGATAAGTATGCATGTGGTCATGTATTATGCTCTTCCAGATGTCGTCTGCCAGGAAAGGCTTAGGGATTTGACTTCATCCGGTGTTAGTAACATTGTCTCCTAGATGTCTCTGAGACTGCTAGCATGATGGCCCCCAAACCCAATTCCAATCATCTAGCCTGATTCAGGCCCGTATACCCTAAACCCTAAACCCTAAACTTGGAGAATTTATGTTGACACCAAGTGCTACATCCCGAGCCTTGCCTTACCAGAATCTTGAAGTCCTTGGCGCTAAACCCTTAGCCCTGTGTACCCAGAATGCGGAGACCTTGAGCTATGCACCCTAATCCCCAAACCCGGAAACCCCAAACCAGAAACCCCTTAGCCCTACACCCTAAACCCCTGATCCCTAAATCCTACACCCTAAATCCCTAAACCCTCTTAAAGCCCTGAATTTAAATTTTCGGACTGAGGCCTTACAGGCCAAGAAGCGCCGCAAGGAGAACGACATCCTTACTGTTGGTGCGAAGGAGAGTAGAGGCTCACAGGGTTTAGGGTTTAGGGATTAGGGTTTAGGGTTCAGTGTCTAGAGTTTAGGGTTTAGGAGTTTAGGCTCTAGGGATGAGGGTTTATGGTTTAATGTTTAGGGTTTAGGGGACTTACCGCGTCAAAAGAAAACAGGTAGTGGGAATCCCTAGGTTCTTCTAAAGGGGTTATATGGTTTCATGCGAAGTAGGGTTTAGGTTTTAGGAAGAGCCAATGGAAGCTACCATAGTATGGCAGCTTCCATTTTCTGTAGGTTTTTTAATGCAAAAGCGGGCGGAAGCTATGAGGCCATGAGGGGTCTGAGGGGGGGGAAAGATCTCGGAAACCATCCCCTTGTAGTCATGGAGCTAGATAACCCTAGTGTTTCGCACCAAGCCTACCTAACTTGAAAGGTTATAATCCGTAAGCCCTAAGCCCTAAACCTTCAA